ATACCATGGACCTGAATGGCATTTTTAAAAGCTTAAACAAAATAATAATTTTATGTAAAGCTGGCAAAAATGCTCAAATATATGACAATACATTCTATGAGAATTGCAAACATTTACAAGCAACATATACATCACAAAGCTCAAATGATTGCCTGCAAAGCGTAGCGCTGAAAGCTACTTCCTGCCAGGAGCTGGAGCCCTCCGCCCCCCAGCATCATGGGGAGCAGGGGGTGTTCCTAGATCCGGACAGGAAGGAATAGTCCCAATGCGGGCCGCACAGCAGCCCAGTTAAACTATTAAAGACCGCGCACCGCTGCAGTTATAGCAGCCGCGCGGTCTAATACCAAACACTGGTCCCCTCGAGCCTTTCAGATACCGAGGCACGACGGGGACGAGGATGAGAAAGGAGCGGTCGCCCTAATAGGCAACCTGAGGAGGACACCACGGGGTGTCTGGGTACAGGAAACAGTGCACAGACTTGAACCTGGAGGAAACAGGAACGGTTTAGAGTTAGACAAGTGAAGAGAGGGGTCGATGAAATCTGAGTCATGTCATTAAATACAGACTGATCTCTCACCTTGATGGATCCTCCTCCACAGAAAACGCCCCTTTCAAATTGATGATGTTGCTCTTGTTTTCAAACATCCCATAACTGAGGGTGATCTGGAAGAAGAGTTGTCACAGAAACATGAGCGACACAAAAAAAGATACCGTCCTCTGGAGCTCTAAAAACTGGAGAACCCTTTACGATAATAAATGATGATCTGAGTTTCTCACCTGTTTGTGAATCTCAGATCGCGACACCAGTTGCAGGTTCTCCAGGTGGGAGTGGAACAGGTTGCTGCGGGTGAGCGGAACCCCGAGAACCGACTCGATGATGTAGCCGATGGTGCAGTCGTCGGGCAGACGGATTTTCTCCGCTGTGTTCATGAAGTGGCCGCCACTGAAGAGACATGAAGGTAGACAGATACCCGGTCAGCGCTGGTGTGACACACACTGGAGGTCATTGTAATTCAATATTTCATAATGTACCTTATTACATTGTCCTCATACTCAACTTAAAGACAGCAACATCATTTTCATCCTAAGACTGATTTATAAATGTAACGTCTTTGCAGTAAAGTGATGATACACAGTGTGTGTAAGTGTATCTGAATCCTACCTGGCCCATGGGCTCATCTTCAGCGCCAGACCCCGGCTCACGCAGAAACCCGCTCCTCCAGTCGCAAACCAGAAGTTGACTGGTTTCTTTAAGAGGAGACAGAAGACATGCTTTAATTTACAGTATTTTCTGACAAATAACCTGTACTGTGACCTTGAAATACTATATTCATAAAAAATTAAGATGCGTGTTATGGATGCATACCATCTTATTGTCGCCCAGCCTCTCTGTGGCCTCGATGGGCCGGTCCAGACTGGGTTTGCCGATGTACATGTCCTGGGTGTGGGGGTACTGGGACAGCTGCTTCACTAGAGTCCGAACATTCACGTAGTTGTCATCATCAACATGACAGAACCACCTAAGAAGCAGAAGCAAGGAATATTTAGATCCAGAGACTCATGCGACCATCATCGTTTGTGATAAATGCATATGGTGGGTGGGGGATACTTACTTCTTCCCAGACTCTATGAACTTATCATATTCCACCGCCATCTTGCAAGACAGAGCTTGTCGGCTGTGGGCTGCAGAGCAGTTGGTGTTGATTGTATGACTCCCTGTGGCAACAGTGAAAGAAATAAGAGTTGACATCATCAATGGAGGCTCTATTTATTTGAATGCCATCTTTCCCAGAGGCACAAAAGGTCAAAGCAGAATTTGTATGACCTTTAGAAATGTTTTATTCCCAACAAAGTCACAGTTGGCCCCTTATCCAATTAAACAATGTGCATATCTGTTCCCGAGATGAAATCCCCCTCATGAAACTCACCCATTTTCTTTTTTAGCTCCTCGTCTTCTCCGTCTGTGAAGATGTACGTCTGTAAACCAAACAGAGGACATCACAGATTAGTGGACTCGCTCATTTAACGTCACTACATCAGAACAACTTGGGTTTGGTCGATCATGTGAAGCGGTCACACGATCAAATCTAACAGTGTGTGCAAAGACCCTCTTCCACCTATGAAACCCGGGTGTGATTAGCATCAATCAACGTGTCCTTTATGCAGTGGAAAACACACTGAGTTAAACAACCCCCTGCTCTAATAAAGACCTTTTGTCCTGCGTTTCACTCTCTCCATGGCAACTATGCAGCCTCCTGAAGCATCCCAGACATAGAACAAAGGAGGAGGCAGACTGTCCGCCCCCACACACATCCCCATTCATGTATCCCATCCCCCGGCCGAGCCCCTGCACCCTGCTGGACGTGCTGCCGAGCTCAAACGTGTTGAATGCGGCTAAAACTGTAGCATACAAATGTAAAAGTCAGCACGCATCTGACTAACCACCACCACCACCTCTTTATCCTCGCCGCTCTATGACTGACAGACTCAACAGGTTAAAGGAATCAGACCGTGGCCCTGCGGGCTCCTGTTAAATGTAGCAGTTAGTCATAAAAGGAGTTAACAACAAAGAGCACCTTACAGGAACAAGCTTTTAAAAAAGGCCGGGGGAGATTAGACTCCTCTTTGTGGCAGCTCACACTGAGCAGGTGCAAGCTGGTGAATGGGGATGATGAAAAGGCCGCCAGTTTTTACAACTGCCAGTGATCTGTTTACTCTTCACCTGAGGTGTGGCAGCACCTGCCGAACATCACGCCGCCTTATCTACGACACGAGTCTCTACACGTCAGGTCGTGGTGCCTGATGCCTCGCTGACAGAGTCCATTTTTTTTATCAGCTATTACTCACATTCCTGCAAGTATGCAAGCCTACTGCTGAACAACCGCGACCACTTGTGCTGTCTATAAACAGTCCGCTGATTTCAGAATAAAACTTAAAAATGTTTTCCTCTGCACGGAAAAGGCAGCTCAGAGCATTTATGGATCAAACTCAGCACAGATGTTGCCCAACGCTGGAGCCATGATCCTGTATTTGTTTAAGAAGGGTGGTGGTTTCACTGGTAACGGGATCAGAGGCTGGCGCTGTTTGCTTTAAAGGCCGCTGAATAGACGGCCTAATCACTGAGGCAGCTGCCAGAGCTGCCAGGGCACTGACAGAGATGGAGGGAGGGGAGGGAGGGAGGGTGAGGGGAGGGTGTGGGGAGGAATCTCACTGCTGATTAGTAAATCGAAAACCGTGTGTGGCCATTCACCCCCTTGTCACTCCCCCATCCTGCCTCCTCCCTCTCCTCCCCCCCGGGCCACATATGCAGCCGGAGCCCCTTGAATAGAACAATGCTGTGAGTTTTCATGCTGGGTAAAGTCTCCACTGGGTAAATTCTAAATATGTTTGCCTGCATTTGCATACAGCTGCAGGAGTTAACTAAAGAGAAAGTTCCCGGGGAAGGTTTTTTTTCTTTTCTTTCTCTCTTTGTTTCTTAACTGAAACTTATAGGAACACTTACTTTCATGGAATACTAATTCAAACAACAACAAAAAAAAAAAGAATTAAAAAAAAAACCGGGCCATGTGAAGCAGAGATAAGAAGGGAGAGGTGAGGACAAGAGAGCAAAGAGAAAGGATGAGGTTGGGGTACGGGGGGGCTTGGCTCTCGACCACAGGAAGGCCTGGCGCGGCCCTGTCTGAGCTGGACGTGGTGCCTGCCTGGCTGGCTGTCTCCAGCTCCACCGGAAGGAAGGGGATCACGGCTCCCCCGGCCACCTCCACCCTGACTCCATCCCGCTTCTGTCCCAGACATTACAGCCCTTTCAGCACTTTTTTCCCTCAGCACTAATGATTTGGAAAACAATTCGGTGTGATGAAAGAAGGGAGATAAATGAGTGAGATTCTGCACATAAACTTATCTTGTACTCAAACCCGTCTCTCAGCGACAATGACGGCCACCATCTTTCTGACCACTGCTGCTTTATCGCTTCAATGTGGAGCCAATCAATTCACTCACATACAGTGTCGAGTGTGTCTTTTTTTCTTCTAGATGCTAAGAGCGCTCATTGTTGCAGCGCTGGCTGATTACCATACTCTTTAAGAGCAGAATGCAGGGAGCACCACGAAGAGGCAGTTATCCAGCTGTCGAGACGTGTGCAAAAATGAACGCAGGCTTTGATAAAACTGTACTTTCTGCAGTTTTACCAATCAGTTCAGGAGAGGGAGATTAAGGATTGACTTTAAATTGGCAGTTCTTCATTGCATCATGTGGAGGGAAACTTTATGATCCATGATATGAGTTCCTAGAAATCATGAAAGGGTAGCCAGGCACCATTTACCTGAATGCTAACTGATTGGTTTTACAAAAAGAAGTGCTATTTGTGCACTGAATGGGCTCAAACATCCAGACGGCCACAGGCACTATTGTGTCAGCAGAGCCATCACAGAGATAATCTACCCTATTCTTCATGAAGAAAAGAAGTCTTCTCTCTTAACTCACATGTACTCGCTTCTGCATCTGTAATACTTGCGTCCCCTGTGCCACAAAAGTGGTCGAAACACGACAGATGTTCATCAGCTGAGCGTGAGAATCAAACCTGAACACGGAGGATGGCCATATGCACACGGTGGGAAACTCAGAGCATCATATGGCTGGCATTAAGGCCGTCCTTTGTTCCGTGTCTCTCGGCCACCTGGCACCCTTCCTCAGGGAACTCCCACCCAGCATTGTGGTGCTCGCCCTGTCCTTTTTGTCCGTGCAGTCACCCACCAGCTGCCTGCCCTGTGAGCCCTGCTGCTAACTCTGTGCGATGGGTTAACAACAACGTCCAGCACAGTAATTACAATCATTTAGCACAATCACTTTGCACTAAGCAGATGATAAGAGTCTGGTTTGTAGGGGCAGGGGGTGGTTAATGACTTACGCCAGATGCAAGTATTTCTGTGTCATCTGATCATGCATCTCAAGTGGAGAAAAATCTCCTCAAACTTTCCTCAACAAACGAGGGAGTTTGTAAAAGATGTGTGTGACAGCATCCGAGGATAATCAAGAAGACTTTTTGAATCTGACACCTCTGGGTGCAAGATAAAATCACTTTGATTGGCCCCTGTTTTGCACCCCCCCCCAGACGCTTGGTTCTCAGGGCTACACATTCATACCCAGCGTCCCACTTCCCAGCACCACCCTGCCTATAGATGCACCCCTTTTGTCCCCATGCATCCCCTTCACCAAGCCCCCAGTTTTTTCCCATCCCTTCAGCGAGTGACCCAGACTCAGCTCTCCCACGTTCCCATGGAGAGAGGGGAGACAAGGGGCTGGGAAAAAGCTTTTCTTCCCCCCTTCAGAAAGACGCTTTGTTAGATCCTGGAAGGGGGACAGCGCTGGACTCGGTGCTGTGAAGCATCCATTGCACCGGGGGCATTCACAGGGACACCCAAAGAAGAGGAGGGATAATAGGGAGTGGGGAGCAGAGGGGGGCTGAGAGAGGGAGAAGAGGGAGTCCTGAAACTGCTCCCTTCGTTCTCAGGGACATCACTCAGAGGAGAATAAAAAGTGACAGAGCCGGGGAGGAAATTCAGCACGGTTAACAGGGGCTGGGAGGTTATTCCAGTGCGTCATCTGGTGACAAGGGGGAACAATACAGCAGTGTAAGCAGCCAAGAGGCATCACCTCCATGTGTGCACTGGGCTATTGTTCAGCTGTGCACTCAGGAACCATGACACAAACAGATTGCACCCTTTAATTCGCGTGCACAGTGGTTGAGTTCATAGTGATTCATAACTGATATGGAGAATTACAGTTTGCATGCTCCCTTTACCTGTTGCGTGTTCCTGGAGATCCACGTGTCCAGCAGCAGGCTCAGTCTGGAGCGGTGGAACTTCTTGGTGGTCTTCACCGCGATGAACACGTCATCGGCGGTGATGTCCTCGGCCGGGGGCGGCTGCGCGGCGCCGGACCCCGCGGAGCGCGCGGGTCTCTCCGCCTCCCGCCGGCCGCGCGCCAGTTTGGTGAAGTACGCGGAGAAGCCCGTCTTCACCTGCGCGCTCTCTGGCTCCTCCGCGCGCGTCCCCTCGTCCACCTGGACGCGGCGCAGCTGCACGGTGAGCACGAGCAGCAGCAGACCCAGGGATGCTGCGCTGGCCGCAGTGATCGCTGCCTTCTTCGCGTTGTTCTTCAGCATGATGAGAACTAATTCAACAATGATAACTCAACTGGAGACTATGAAGCGGCGCGGGTCTCCAATACAAAGTCCATATGGTGGGATTTAAAACACAGGAGCGCAGATGTAGGGTCCGTCAGGCTGCATAGCTCAGGGCAGAATAAGACAATCGATAGGAGGAGAAATATATAAGCTTGTATGGTGGCCACGCCCCCTGTAGGAGGGGGGGG